TTGGAGACAGGGTCTTGCTCAAACTTGTGACACTACTGTCTCAATTTCCCCGAGTTATGGGATACATGGCCTGTGTCATCAGGGAAGGGTTGGGGGCCTACTTCATGCATGCCTAATTTTTCATCATCGTCATCTTTTTGTTTGGTGGCAATGGGGACTTAACTCAGGGCTTTGTACATGCTACATCTTTAACCCTTGTGTGTGTGGTACCGGGGATCAAACTAAGGACCTTACACTTGTGAGGCAGGCATGGTGCCACTGAGCTAAATCCCCAGCCCCCAGCTATTTTTCTTCCTTTTTGTTTATATTTGAGACAGGGTCTCACTATGTATTCCAGGCTGGCCTTGAACTCACGTCCTCCTGCCTCAGCCTCCCAAGTGCTGGGATTACAGGGATGTGCCAACACACCCTGCTATTTTCCTTCTCTAAAAAAATTTTTTTTTCTGTTGATGCACAGTCATAAGGGCTGGGGAACCAGGGAAAGAAATGAGCCAGAGCTGCCTTGACTCCCCACTCATCTAGGAACACCAGGACATCAACCTGAGTCTAGCTTTGAAGGAGCACTTGAATGCTCCCCTGGCCCCGGAGCTGGGCTCTCCGACCCCAGATCCTCCAGCCCCTTCCTTCTCACTTTACTACGCCATTCCCACCACCACCCTCCTGCCTTAGTTCTGCTTTCCAGGAAAAAAAAAAATACTGTTTCTGTTGGATCTGAAAGGCACCAGGACAGGAATCCAAGGAACTGTTGGACCAGCTCAAGGGCAGGGAAGTGACAGAGGGAAGGCTAGGAATGTGCTTGGGGGTGGCAGTACCCAGCCCACTCCTCTCTCTGAGGCCCCGGGACTTGGGAATTTGAGGGAGGGGTCAAAGTGGCGGCGCAGGGGTGGAGAGCACAAGCCCCTCACCTGCTTGGGTCGGGTGGCCTCTCCTTCCCCTGCCTGGGCAGCGAGGTCGAAGCTCCTGGAGAAGGACCTACTCCCACCGCGGCCCTCAGCCCCTTCATTCGGTACTCGAGGCTGGAAGGAAGGCGGGTGAGGTGATGGCCCCTGCTGCCCCTTCCCTGTTGCTGGTCTCCACTCCCTAGCCCTCGACCCGGGTGCCTCTGGCGTGGTCCACCCCAGTACACATAATCCCGTCCTGAGATGGCTTTGGCTTTGGCAGCTCCCTGGAGGGGTGGGGGTGACGTGAGCTCCAGCCTGGGCCAGGCCTGGCTCCCTCTCTGGAAAAGTCCCACCCCACCCTCCCGTGCACAGCGGGGCAGGGGCCAACGTCCCCCCGCACGGAAACAGACGCATATCTGTGCTTTTTCACTCCTTCCCGCGTCCCCCAGTGCTGCTGCCCAGGTTGAGGAAAGTGCAGGTCAGAAGCCACTGGAGCCAGGATGGGCCCTGGGCAGGGCAAACC